TTGATACCCTTATCACTTTACTCTTTTCTATGTTCGCTTTCAACTTTCTACCTTTACACACACTCCCAAACTCGTCCACTAACCTTTGCAGTTTTTCTTTAAAATCTCCCATAAGCACAGTATCATCAGCAAAAAGTAACTATGTCAATTTCCATTTTGTATTTGATTCCCCATAATTTAATCCCACCCCTCTCCTGAACACCCTAGCATTTACTTCTTTTACAACCCCATCTGTAAATATATTGAACAACCATGGTGACATTACACATCCCTGTCTGAGACCTACTTTTACCGGAAAGTAATCTCCCTCTCTTCTACACACCCTAACCTGAGCCTTGCTATCCTCCTAAAAACTCTTTACAGCATTTAGTAACTAACTACCTATTCCATATACTTGCAACATCTGCCACATTGCTTCCCTATCCACTCTATCATATGCCTTTTCTAAATCCATAAATGCAATAAAGACTTCCCTACCTTTATCTAAATACTGTTCATATATATGCTTCAATGTAAACACTTGATCTACACATTCCCTACCCACTCTAAAACCTCCTTGCTCATCCGCAATCCTACATTCTGTCTTACCTCTAATTCTTTCAATTATAACCCTACCGTATACTTTTCCTGGTACAGTGGACCCCCGGTATTCGATATTAACCCTTCTGACGTCTCAGGCCAAAATTTCGAGTACCGTGGCGAATTACATTTTAGCGCCATAAGAAAAATGGAACCAATTAAATTCTGTGGCAGTGTCACCCAAATATAAAAAAAATTACACGCAATGCTTAATGACCAAAAAAAAACTCCACCGTTTTTATTTTAAAAAAATCCCATGTCATTTAATATTTAAATGATTGATTCTGGTTTTTGGTATCATTTGATGATGGAAGAGCTATAGTTAGAATTTATTGTTTTATAAGGGGAACCCCCTTACAATGGAGTTTAAAGTAGGGAAGTTTATTTTCATGTGGTAAGCAATGATGCCATTTTCAGTAAATGCCAAACTAGGCACCATTGCAGTAGTCAATGGACTATGTCTAAAATCAGTATCTGTCCATAATTGTAACGTCCCGTTCAATTTTTTGTTTGGGAATACAATTCATTGTATAGCACAGCACGGTTTCAAGGGCCTGCCTGATAGGAAGTGATTTTTAGAGAGGTTTGCAGTTCAACCTTATTTGAAATTTCATTAATTTTTTAGTTTTCCGTGAAAATTACGGCAATTACTTTCGACCAAAACCAATTATGAGGTAGTGAAATCTTAAATGGAGTTTTGGGCCTAGACTCATGAGTAGAATAATTTTTGGATGTTGCAACATAAAACAGATCCTGGTGACCGTGAACAATGGAAAAAAAAATAGGCAAAGCGATTATCCCCGATTTTAAACGGGCCTAACTTTGCAGAGTCTTATTCCGTAGTTTTATAATTGTTTTCGTTTTTGGTGTCATTATAAATGGAAAGATCTCTATAAATAAGATGATTTTTTTTGTTTTTTTTTTTGGAAATGGTTTTGAACGAGCCAAGTAGAGGGTAATTTAAGGCCGAACAAGAGTAAACAAGCGACCTCCATTTCTACAGAGCTCATCATGTGCCAAAATTATGGGAAATGCGAATTTATAATTTTACCATAGCATAACTGTAAATCAAATTATTTCTGTGTGCAAGACACCAAGTATGTGAATAAAAAATTTAAATGGAATTTTTTAGTTAAACTCAAAACATAACTAATGAACAGATGCACATGTTTATTTTAGTCAAATCTCTACAATGTTCATAACTGGACCCTTTTATGAAGATTGGTGAATATTAGGGAAATTTTGGAAATTGGAGATAAAATTTCCCGAACTTTATTTGTTTGAAAAGGGGGATTCCCTTAACATAATAGAGAACTTAGGAAATAGCTAAGTCCTTTGGTTATTCCTATTCTTAATTGGCCAAATGGAGCCCAGCTGGAAGTCCCGGGATTCCTAATATCGCGACACATACAAATTTCTGTCCATGAATTCTCTTTATCCCGTCCTTTACGATTTTGTCTATAATGGGCCACAAAGATTGTCTTGTATAGTTCATAGCAAAATACAATGTGTTTGATTTTTCATAAATTTTGGACACTTTGCACCACATTTCCTTAATGGTTTTAAGTAGGCACAATGGATTCCACAACTGGCATAGGCTTCTCAGGGTTAGCCCCAAACCCTTCAAAATCTTTCTTAATTTCCATACTAATTCTCACCCTTTTTACCACAGGGTTGACACTAGAAGCTTTCTTGGGGCCCATGGTGACTTATTTTGCAGAAACAAGCACCAAAAACACTCTGAAAATATGGAATGTACCGAAACGTATGCTTAGATGCGAGCACACTGGCTGGCTTGTGAACACTGGCACGCACGGGGCAGTTCAGGCCACACGTGGACATGTCTCGGACGAATTGCGTGTGGCAGGTTTTTTAAAGAGTGGCAAGGCAAAATTTTTGCGTTAAAATGTATCGAATACCGGATTTATCAGGATACCGATGCCATCGAATACCAGGGGTCCACTGTATACTCAGTAAACTAATTCTTCTATAATTTTTACAATCTCTCTTGTCCCCCTTCCCTTTATATAAAGGAACTATACTTGCTCTCAGCCAATCCCTAGGTACCTTCCCCTCTTTCATACATTTATTAAACAATAATACCAACCACTCTAACACTATATCCCCCTCTTCTTTTAACATTTCTCTCATGATCCCATCAGTTCCAGCTGCTTTACCACCTTTCATTCTACGTAATGCCTCATGCACCTCCCCCACACTCACATCCTGCTCTTCTTCACTCCTAAAAGATGGTATACCTCCCTGGCCAATGCATGAAATTACCATCTCCCTTCGTCGTCATTTAAAAGTTCCTCAAAATATTCCCGCCATCTATCCAATACCTCTCATCTCCCCATCTACCAACTCCCCTTCTATATATTTAACTGACAAATCTATTTTTTCCCTAGGCTTTCTTAGCTTGTTAAACTCCAAAATTTTTTTTTATTTTCATTGAAATTTCTTGATAGTGCTTCTCCCACTCTATCATCTGCTCTCCTTTTAGCACTCTCTCACCACTCTCTTCACCTTTCTTTTACTCTCCGTATACTCTGCTCTTCTTATAGCATTTCTGCTTTGTAAAAACCTCTCATAATCTACCTTTTTTCTCCTTTACCACACCCTTTACTTCATCATTCCACCAATCACTCCTCTTTCCTCCTGCACCCACCCTCCTATAACCACAAATTTCTGCCCAACATTCTAATACTGCATTTTTCAAATTATTCCAACCCTCTTCAAACCCCCCCCCCCCTCCCCTCCCACTACTCGTACTTGCACTAGCCCACCTTTCTGCCAATAGGTGCTTTTATCTCGCCCGAACTTCCTCCTCCCTTAGTTTATACACTTTACACCTCTCTCTTACTTGTTGCCATTTTCCTCTTGTCCCATCTACCTTTTACTCTAACTGTAGCTACAACTAAATAATGATCCGATATATCAGTTGCCCCTCTATAAACGTGTACATTCTGGAGCCTACCCATCAACCTTTAATCCACCAATACATAATCTAAGAAACTACTTTCACTACGTGCTATATCATACCTTGTATATTTATTTATCCTCTTTTTCATAAAATATGTATTACTTATTACCAAACCTCTTTCTATACATAGTTCAGTTACAGGCTCCCCATTTTCATTTACTCCTGGCACCCCAAATTTACCTACTACTCCCTCCACAACATTTTTACCCACTTTAGCATTGAAATCCCCAACCACAAGTATGCTCACACTTGGTTCAAAACTCCCCACACATTCACTCAACATTTCCCAAAATCTCTCTCTCTCCTCTACACTTCTCTCTTCTCCAGGTGCATATATGCTTACTATAACCCACTTTTCACATCCAACCTTTATTTTACTCCACATAATCCTTGAATTAATACTCCCCCTTTTCCTGCCATAGCTTATCCTTCAATATTATTGCTACTCTCTTCTTTAGCTCTAACTCTATTTGAAACCCCTGACCTAATCCCATTTATTTCTCTCCACTAAATCTCTCCTACCCCCTTCAGTGTTGTTTCACTTAGAGCCAGGACATCCAGCTTCTTCTCATTCATAACATCCACAATCATCTTTCTTATCATTTGCACAACATCCATGCACATTCAGACATCCCACTTTGACAGTTTTCTTCTTCTTATTCTTTTTAGTAATTATTACAGGAAAAGGAGTTACTAGCCCATTGTTCCCGGCATTTTAGTTGACTTTTACAACACGCATGGCTTACGGAGGTAGGATTCTTATTCCGCTTCCCCATGGATATAGAAGGAAAAGTAATAAGAACAATAACTATTAAGATAAAATCAAAGAAAACTCAGATGAGTGTTTATAAATAAGCATGTACATGTATGTGTAGCGTGACCTAAGTGTAAGTAGAAGTAGCAAGACGTACCTGTAATCTTGCATATTTTTGAGACAGACAAAAGACGCCAGCAATCCTACCATCATGTAAATCAATTACAGGCTTTCGTTTTACACTCACTTGGCAGGACGGTAGTACCTCCTTGTGTGTCTGCTGTCTACCAACCTACTACCTAGATTCTATTTTCGTCCATCAAATATGTGTTGTCTAAGGAGTGCATTGCAATATTTTCTTTATTCAAAGTTGACATGTAATCTAACATTAACCCTTAAACTGTCCAAACATAGATCTATGCGCGCATAGCGCTTCAACCTTGAATTTCTCCATAAGAAAGCATGTAAAAAAACGTAGATATACATTTGGAGTGCTAGGCGAGCAAATGTAGATCTACGTTTGGACAGTTAAAGGGTTAAGTGGTATTCCAGTGGATAGGCACATTCTGAATGAACTTGTGCTATGGTTATTCTTTTTATTCTTGAGGATCCTAGTTTACTACTGGCTAGAGGAGAGCGATTGAAGTGGCTCACAATGATGTCTTTTATTACTCTCTCTTCCAGAATACAATCGTGGATAACCAGTTGAAGAGTAGGTACAAAACATGGCAGTCTCTTATATCCTGCCCCTTCAATTCCTTTGGCAACATTGGCACCATTATCTCTTGCTATCAAATGAATTTTGGAAGCTGGTATGTTGAATTCATTCATTGCTTCTTGAATAATTTCGGGGATATGTGCTGCTGTGTGGGATCCAGGAAATGACATCAGTCTATGGGCAACAGTTTTCTGAATGACATCTTTGCTGAGTCACATGTGACAGTGTGTACTGTACTTACCTATATGTACTTATGTATTTGTGGTTGGAGGGGGTCACTTCTCATCTCCTGGCCCTGCCTCTCAACTTGCTGATTACCAGGTTCCTTCCCTCCCAATCCTTTGTGGGCCCTGTTATACCTGCTCTTAACCCTTTCAGGGTTGGTGCCGTACTAGTACGGCTTACGCGCCAGGGTTGGTGCCATACTAGTACGGCTTACGTGCCAGGGCTGGTGCCGTACTAGTATGCATAAATTCTAGCGTCCTCATATCAAGCAGGAAAAGGCTGGTAGTCCTGGAAGTGAGAGAATAGGTCTCCATGGTCAGTGTGCGCGGTATAAAAAAAATCGGGAACCCAGTGATGGATTGTGGGAAAGCCATTTTATTACACCTTGTTCACCATGTCTAGTGGTAAGAAACTCCTCACTCCTCGGCTAATTGGGGCTCTTTTGTTCCCAAGTGACAGTTTAAACACAGATAGAAGTGTCATTGAAGATGAATTTCATGGTTTTGAGGAGTTTGTGACTGAAAGCAATGCCCAGGAAACCAACCTGAAGGAAGGAAGGAAGGAAGGTAGAAGAAAGGGAGGAAAGAAGGAAAAGATGAGAGGAAGGAGGGAAGAAAGGAAGGAGACCATCAACCTAGGATAACTCAAAAAATTCAGACAGTGACTTATTTCCATGTGGGTTGGTGGGGTGGGGAGGAAGGGATAGGTGTTGACAGACAGTGAGGGTGGTGAGTGGTGGTGTTATTTGTCATTGTGACACTAATTAGGTCGGTGACTCAGCATATTTACAAGTCCACCCCCACACTACTACAAGCTTTCAGAACCTCTTGTAGTTATAGGAACCTGTCCAATGACTCTATATGAGTATATATATGATAGAAAAATAGTAATAAACAACATTTTTTATTGTTGGTTTGTGTAAACATGTTTTGTAAACAGTATAATGACAGCAAAGTTGTGCTGTTATTGTGTAGTATTCAATGAGTGAATATATCCCAGATAGTCTTTATATTGGTCTCAGAGGCCATAAAAGTTACTTGAAAAAATAAAATATTAAAAAATAAATGGAAAAAGTAACAAAAAAAAAAAGAAAAAAAAATTACCGGGTGACCGGGATTCGGCGATGTTGCCATATGCGGTTTAATTTCTGTCAACTTCATGCCTCCATATCTCGGTAAGTACTGATGGCAAAAAAAAAAATTTTTTTAGCCTATAAAATTTAGAAAAAAAAAAAACTTGTCTTTTCATAAGAAATAATTTTTTTTTTTTTGAATATTTACCGACCCTGAGAACAGTTTTGGGAGAAGGCCTGCTGACCCTGAAAGGGTTAAAACTGTATATGGGGCCTTCTTCCACCACATCTTTTTCAAAATCATTCCACTTCCTGACCACCCTGAGCTGAAGAAGTACTTCCTGGCATCCCTCTGATTCATCTGTGGCTTTAACTCTTTCAGGGTCCAGAGGCCAAATTTCAAAGTGCGCACCAGGATCCAAGAATTTTCAGAAAATAATTTTATTTTTTCTTATGAAATAGTAGAAAATCTTTTTCTGAAGGTAATAAAACAAAAAGTACGAAATTTGATGGAAAATTGATGAAATTATGCTCTTGCGAATTTTAATGTGTCGGCGATATTTACGCATCGGCGATTTTGCCGACTTTGACTCCCATTTTAGGGAAATTACAGTATTCCAGTCAACCAAATTCTTAGCTATTTCACTAGTATTACTTCTATTCTATCGATTGAGCACAAGAAATCACCAATTCAACTGTTTCAACAGCAAAATAGTGACCGGAAATTGGTAATTTGGCCAATTTAATGCAAAGTTCAAAAATATTCCAATTTTTAAAATGGGGTCCGGTAAACAAATGCAGGTTTTCCTGGCATAAAAAAATTTTTCCCTTTTTCATTAGTTCGTTTTAGCTTTAAATAATTCCATTTTGTTTTTTTTATTCACTAATAAATTTTTTTATTAAAACCCGAAAAAAGAAGTTTTTACTGTTAGCAATATTGTAATAATTGTATAAATAATACCCCACATTGTGAATGTATATTGACTCACCAGCTGGCGTGTTTTTAAACTTTGAGGTCATTTGTTTACTCTTAACCCTTTCGGCCAAAGGGCCCAAAAATCTAAAGCACGACCAGTGTCCAAAAATTTTAAAAAAAAAAAAAATTTGTTATTTTTTTTTTATGAAATTTTAGAAAATTTTTTGTGAAGGAAAATAAAAAAAAAAGTACAAAAATTTGGTGGAAAATTGCAAAATTTTATGCTCTCGCGAATTTTGTGTGTCAGCGATATTTATGGGGGTCGGCTTTTTTTCCCGATTTTGACCCCCATTTTGGGCCAATTTACATTTCCAATCAACCAAATTTTTACTTTTTTCATAGTATTATTTCTTTTCTATCGTTTGAGCACAAGAAACGCCAAATAACTTTTAAATAAAAAAATAAAGTGATCGGAAATTGTTATTTGGCCAATTTAACACAAGTTCAAATATTCCCAAATTTTAAAATAGGCTCCAAATAAACAAAGTAGGTATTTCCCGGAACTAAAAAAACATTTCCTGTTATTAGTTACATTTTGAGGCTTTACAAAAAATTCATTTTGATTTTTTATTAATAGTGAATTTTTATTACACAAAAAAAAAAGATTTCTGTTTGCAATCTGTAATTTTGTTAAATATCATCACCATATTTGTGAATGTTATTAGACCCACCACTGAGGTATTAGATGTGTGGGTCGTTTTTTTTTATCTTGAATATCGGCAAAAAATTTAACATTTCCGCTACTTTAGCCAGTTTCAAGCCATTTCCAGTGCTAAGACCAATCAAAATCATCTCTATTTCTGTAATATGTCTTCAATTCTATCAAATGAGACCAAGAAATCGCAAATACAACTATAAAAAACATACGAAAAAACACTGCAAAGTCGCTGTTTTAATCGAAAAATCATGATTTCAGTTTTTTTCTCTCGTTATACACAGTGTGCTGCAGGATCCGTTTTATGTGGTGCACACATACCACATAGATGTATTCTCTCATATCTAGGCCCAAATGTACCACTCACAGGTTTATCAGAGTGAGCTGAGCTCATGGCATAGATCTACGGTTTGGACACTCACCGTAAAGCCGTAGATCTACGGGACGAACCCTGAAAGGGTTAAACATCGGCAAAAATTTAATATTTCTGCTACTTTGAGCTCAGTTTCAAGCCATTTCCAGTAATTAACCAATCAAAATCATCTCTGTTTCTGTAGTATATCTTCCATTCTATCAAATGAGACCAAGAAATTGCAAATACAAATATAAAAAACATACGAGAAACTGCAAATTCGTTGTTTTAATCGAAAATTACGGTCTCAGTTTTTTTCCCTCATTATGCACTGTGTGCTGCAGGAGTTGTTTTATGTGGTGCACACATACCACATAGATGTATTCTCTCATATCTATGCCCAATTTTACTGCTCTCAGCTTATCAGAGTGAGCTGAGCTCATGGCGTAGATCTACAGTTTGGACCCTGAACGTAAAGCCGTAGATCTACGGCACGGACCCTGAAAGGGTTAACTGCCAAGTATGCCCCACGTACCTGTTTATATCTTTTTACCCTTTCAAATTTCCCAAATATATTGTATGTCGCTATCATGTCTACCATGTTCAGCTGTACTCTGATGTCATCAGGTTCAGTTCCTTTAGCCTCTCCTCACAACTCATACCCCTTAACTTTGAGACCAGTCTAGTTGCACATCTCTGCTCTTTATACAATTTTTTAGCATGCTTTTTCTTGAATGATTTTGTTGATATTCCTGAAGGCTAACCTTGGATTTGCCAGATGAGCAGTGGCTGTAAAAGTTATTCAGTTGATATGTGCTGCTAGTGATATGCTTAGCAATATGCTCACTCCTGGGTCTAAAAGTGAGGTCTGCAGTCTCTGTCCCCTGAATCTGTACTCTGTATCTGGTCTTCTTACCCCTTCCCCAATCTTCAAAGCAGTGCACTTGGTGGGATTGAATTATCTCAGTTTGTCCAGATCCATTTGTAGCCTTTCCTTGCCCTCATTGGGTTTTACCGTCATTGTATATCGTCAGCAAATAGAAATGCATCTGACTCAGTCCCATCTGATATGTCATTCACATATATCAGAAACAGTATTGGTCTTAACACTCGGTATATTTATTGCCAAAACGTTTTGCTTGTACAACAGGTTGCCTTAGTTGGATAATGGTGAATGCAACACTGATTACCTCCCACCGATATAGTATCGGTGGGAGGTAATCAGTCCCTCAAGATTAAAGTATAGGCAAGTGCCAGAACTTATGTACTAAAGTATAGGTGAGATGAAGTAGGTGGAGTCGAGGGCATGGGAGAGCGTGGCCCACGAGTGGTGATAGTAGGTCATGCTGAGCAGTGGTTCAGGAAAGAAGCTGCAGAAGACTTTCCCTGTACCAAGATACTATGGTGTTGCAAATGTGCCTTATATATCAACTTATTGTATACCATCAGTAATATGACACCATGATGTTGCTGTGTCAGACAAGTATCTTGGTACAGTGGAAAGTCTTTGCTAAACAATGTCACCATTATTTCTACTGCTTCCTGTGCTGCATTCACTGAGGAAGCTTGTTCAATAAGTGAAATGATTAGGCAATAAAGATATCCAAGGTTTGCAAATGTGTTTTTATTATCATAAGTGTGGTATAGTTGAATGTAAAATTATTTCTTGAATGGGAAGCAGTCAGAGATGTGCATGAAGGTAAGGTTAATTAAATGTGAGATAATTACTTCTTGGGTACTTATTGTGGCTAAGTAAATGTAAGATTATTACTTTAGGGGTAGTTGTTGGAGTTAAGTAAATGTAAGATAATTGCTTATGTGGGTTTAGGTATCTGGGATATTGTTAGCTAGACTTATTTTATTGTTCAATAAGAACTGCTAAGTTGTTTACAATACTGCAGAAGACCCTACTTCATTGTTTTCTTTTTCACAGAAAGAAAAATACCGGCTGAATGTATGCGGCGAAGGAGGTGAATATGAAACATTTACTCTTGACTGCCCCATTTTCAAAAAGCGTATAGTAGTGTGAGTAGTTCTTTGCCAATATATGATATTTTATTTGCTGTAAGTTATTGCCAGTATGTGATATTGTCATGGAAACAAAACTTCACAAGAAACTCCACTGAACCCTATTGGATGAAACAGCTCACTGTTCAGAATTATGTACACGAAGACATTGGCTTCAGCTTTCTTTGGGAGAGTGTTATGCTGTGTCAAGCTTTAACAGGTCATATTAAAGCTTTACACAGGGTGAAATCTCTCTCAGTAAAAGCATGTTCTTCAGCTTGTATCTTTGTGTTCATGCTGAACTCTCTTAGTTGTTTGTGATGCTTGTGAGCTTT